CTACTGACTAGGTGAACTACTCACCATGTTCTTCTCCTGAGCCAGGACCACCCTTTGTATCTCCTTAGCATCCAGAAAACTGACCATTGCCAGGGGACAGCATTTGCTGCCCTGTTGCTTCAAGGAAGAGGAAAAGAAGACAGGCAAAACCGTTTTTTTTTCTGATAAAAATATGATGAATAACTTGTGGCAGTATTGGAAAAAATACCTATGGGGCAGGGAGGTGCAGGAGAATATTCCATTTTTTTGTCATTCTGACTGGCTCTCAGGCATGAAGGGGAATATGCATCGTGTTTTCCATATCAAAATTTGCACAGCGTTTGTCCTCATGTTAAATGCAGATCTGGCCTGCGGTGCCAAAGATCTAGTAATCTTTACAGAACCACAGCATCAGAGGAATGGTGCACTTAAAGGGACTGCAGCTGTCATGTCAAAAGAGATGTACATGTTAGCACATTTAAGAACATGCCCTTTTTTTCCCCACTAATTATAAGTTTTGGATACTACTGAAGAGATTTCCCTTAATGACTACCCTGCAAACAGCCAGGATATTCATTTAGAGTTTTCTTGAGGAAATATGTCTCTCTGTGGTCTGAGAGTCTTAACAGCATGGTTCTTACCAACACATTCTTCACTGGAGCTTAGGAGTTACATGCCTTGCATCACACAGATTAATATCACAATTCAAGAAATACTGCAGTAGTGCATTGTGGTGCTTTATTAGTGTTAGACATGCAATATTTATTTGATGAACAGAAATTAAAATATTAAGGTAACAGTTTAAACAAATTAAAGGAGTTGAAGTTGCAATAATGAAGCAAAAATAAGGTTTTTCATGCATTCTAAGTTTATAGTTCTCACATGTGCATATAGTTGTGAATCTGTACCATTATTAAATGTAGACAAACTACCACTGATTGCACGAGACAAAATCAACCCTTAAGTTACAAGTAATGTTCAGATCTTTTACAGACTTCCTATATAACCTGAATCTTCAGCTTTTAATAGTACATTACAATACAAGACATCTGGAAGCTTCTAAGATGAATAGGAATGGCTCTACCACTTGTAACATACAGTGGCTTCTTCAATGTACAAATTATGAAAAAGAAAGCAAATGCCCACCATGCTTTAGGAGACTATGACTTTTTCAACAGAAACAAATCTCAAAATCCTTCATATAGAGACTAAAGTGCTACCTATTGCATATTAAACACTTCCAGCAACTGCATCTACACTTAGAAGTTATAAATCCCTGAAAATAGGGTTCCATACCAGAAGTGCTGACAGACCCTTAAATCTAGTATCATCAACACACCAGCACTATAATCCTTCACCATGTACTTCAAGGAGAGGAAGTTAGTCAACATGCTTTAAACATCACCATTTTAAAAGCCCACAGCTAACGCCTCTATCATAGCTACAACAGTCATGGATACATAAAGAGAAAAAAGCATGAGCTTACTTTACATACTTAACACAGGACAATAACTTTTCTTTAAAGCTGGAAGTGTAAATAAACCTCCAGTGCAGCAGTAAACATATTAAGACAGCAATTCGGTTTGTTGTAAGATGCATCTAAGAAAGGGCATCCTGTACAGAAAGAAATGCAGACTAGGACATAATGAGCATGATTTTCATTAGGTCCTCAACACATGAAACCTTTCTAAATGCAAGGCAACATTTTCACAGCTCGAAAATTACAAATAGTTCTTCATACAGAGCCAGCAGTAATAAATGTAGTTACGTATAATCTAGGGAGAATGCTACATTCATTAGTAGGTGGAAAAACAAGCTAAATGTAAAATACAGCAGCAAGAGATAACATACAAATATTAAATATCCTTCTTGAATGGCAGAAAGTTTACCATTTGTTACTTACAGCATTAAATTATGGCCTTGATATTTGTTCTTTAAAGTAATTGAAGTACATGGCTATGAGCAGAGCTGTTTCAAAGGATAATTTCAAAGTTAGTGTGTGCACGGATAAACTCTTACACTAATTTTTGAGGGTGAAAAAAAAAATCAAAATAATGTAGAGATGTCCAGAATTTTCATCCCTACAGTTCAAGGGGCAAGTAAGACTGATCAGAAGTGGCAAGTTATTATGTTTTTAAAACAATCTGCAAGAAAGTTTACAATTTTATCCTTTGGGAGAAATAGAATTTTTTTTTTTTGTTTTAAATTATCCACTATGAAATGTTTTAGATCAAAAGCTGCATAGTTCCAAAAAATACATGTAGGATGAAGATGCTTTTCAAGAATAATCTCAAAATATAGAAAAAGGTTAAAATTGTCTTTCTAAGCAGAAAATGAAGCTCATGTCATCTTTTCCAAAAGCAGCCTACATCTTTAGCAAGAAAAACTCTTACTAAAATATTTTCATAGTTGTAAGTGTCCCATTCTGCCTCTTTTAGTAACTTTACCTTTTCCTAAATTGCATTTGTCCCTCTCCCGTCTTTCTTGACAAACTGTTAGAAACAAAAGGTGCTTTTATTCACTTACAGATCAGATAAAGGCCACATAGCACATTCAAAGCTTCACTAAATTTCTTCACTAATGCACAAAAATTGATCTTTTCGCTACCTTTAATCTGCTTATCGTTCCTGGTATGCAAATATGTCAAATGATCTGCTTTTAGTCAATTATGCAGTTTGATATTCTACATTTACATTCTAAAAGAAATTATTTCAGAGGTGCTAAATATAGTAGAGTTTCATTTTAATAATTATAAGTTGGCTTGCAAGTGAAAAGTCACTGGAGCACATTCTCTGGTTAGTTTACATGTTAAACCTGTTTGGTGTGGATGATTTAATCACTGTAGGTTCTACAGGATGGTCTCACACCAGTTAGTTTGAAAATGACTGTGGAATTCAAAACAATTGCATAACACTTCCTCATTAACAATATGAGAAAACCATTTGCTTCAGTCAAGCATTTGAAAATGTTTAAGAACTTCTATGGAACTACTGAGTAACTAGAATGCATCTTGGTGTAATTAGGAAGTGAAAATCTAATTGAGTGCAAAACCTAACTTCCAACAGTAAACGTACCATAACTTAGTACATAACCTTTGGCACTTGGATTATATTACAACAAATTTACAGTCATTTAAGATCTTAAGTGGGTCAAAAGAACATTCATGTGATTTATGAGGTACCAAACTTGACAAATCCTTAGGCTGCTAAGAGAGAGACTACCTGATGGGATGGACCCACTTCTGTGCTACCAACGTCTAAATGCAGAGCACTACAATTAGGCTGGGCTTCAATCACTCAGCTCCAGCCAGGCACAACCATCTAGTCTAGGGGATCCCAATGGTGGGTTGGGAACACTCCAACTGCATATATCTTAGGGACATAGTGCTAGGGGGATGGGAAGTATCTGCTAAAAAAAAAAAAAAAAAGAAGACAAGAAAATGAAGAAAATGAAGAAAGAAAAAGCCAAAAACTTAGAATAGTACAAAAGGTTTCTTCTAACAAGAATAATTCTGTTGTCATATAATACTAACTTCGTCAAAAGCATTCAGATTGTAGAACTGTTTCAACATTTCCAGATCATAATTATCCAAGGCGTTACTAATCTTGCAGCTTTAAAAATTAAAACATATTTAGATCTTTTACAACAATAAAATTGGAATTTAATTTTAAGCTTATTTTTCCCTCCTCAGCAGCAGCCATTACATGGTGCTGTAAGAAAAAAGCCCAACACATCAGGTGTTGAAAAAGAAGAGGAAGAAAAGACAGTCAGTTTTCTTAAATCCAAATCTAAAATATTCTCTATACTTTTTTTAATACCATCTTAGTGTTTCACAGCAACAGACAATCCAGCTGAGACTCTTATGACGGAAATTAAAATAAAGATCTATTTATGTTAATATTGTGAGGATTCTTCTACAGTATTTTCCCATTGTACATACATAGCTATATTTTGCCAATTACAGATAGCGTTTCCATATGTCATTTTACAAACAATTACTAAATTATCAGGAAGACATTTACTACATTCTTCTTTCATTTGCTTCAATGAAAACTGACTTTTAGAAGTACTTACAAGGAACACAGACCTTTTTTAAATGAAAAGCCCAAGTACTACACGTGTTTAAGCAACACAGCCTATTTTTTAAGGCTTGTACTTCATTGTCATAAGATTTTAAAAACCCAAGGCATATATATAGCATGTAAAACTCAACCTTAAATTGAGTCAGTTCTATATTTTTTTAATTATCAGGTCTATTTTAGACAGTCTGTTCATTTCTCCTATATTTTCACTGTAGTAGACTTTGACTGAACAGAGTATTCATATCTTTATTCCATACTTTTCTCCATTCCTACCTCCAACTGTATTAACACTGTTCAAAATACTTTAACATGTAAAAAAGCATGCAATAACTTTATATAAAAAGATCCTCAAAACAACCTTATGTCATGAGCTCACTACCAAAGTTCAGTCATTATACACAAAATTCAGCATTTAAGTGTAAAATTACCGGTTCCAGCATGTGCTGTTACTGAAATGACATGGTATTTTTTTACACTGTTATACAAAAAGCATGTCGTATAGAATACAGCATTTATTCTGCAAAGATTGTGCATCACTGTTTTCCTCTAACATGTGTAGAACAAACTCCATTCCATTGCAACAAATCACAGTTAGGTTTAGTAAAGCGCACTCCACTGGCTTGAGAACAGTGGGCTTGATGGCATGCTGGAGTATCAGAATTGATATATTTGCATAATACCAATAATCACTCAAGAAAACATTCATAACAGCACAGGCTTCCCAGTTGAAACTGCCACATGGTGAACACGAAGCTATTATATAAACTGCATGGACATATTTAACGTGAATTATTAACTCTACTGTAAGTATTCTGTACCTAAAGGTGTTCTCAAAAAGAAAAAGAAAAAAGTTATTTTGCTAATCTAACAGAATATTATTTTGGCAGTCCCTGCTAGTGTTTGGAGTAAAAAACAAATGAAATAAAAAAACCCCCACATCATAGTCTCGTCCTCCCCTGATTCCTGGAATTTCTTACATGAAAAGGAATGAAGAGAAGTCAGAATGTTCAAGTGATTTAGTACCATCCAGTAGCTTAGCTTTTGGAAAATTTGCCAGCTTTCCGAGAAGGCTCATATGGCACTCTGAGAATACTAGGTGTTTCCTCCATGACTCGTACAAGAAGATTATCAATGTAATCCTCCAGTTCACGGATATGGGTGTCCTTCTTCTTCAGCTGTTCTTTATGTTTCACCAGCTCCTGCAAAACCTCTTCATAAGTAAGGTTACGGTATCCAGCAGTGGCATCAAAAGGATTTCCATCCTACGGATAAGTTTAAAAAAAACCACCAGATTTTATTAAATATTGCAGTGTTTTGAACAAATTGATGGGTTACATGTCTCTTGTGCACCTCTTGACAGAAGCAGCTTCTCTTAGACAATGTATCTACACTTGTTCTAGAGTTTTCCCTCCAATATCCCCACTGGAGCAGACAACTGGAGATAGGTTGACCAGTTGGAAGAAGTTTCCCACACTGTCATCTCAGAAAAAAAATACTGTTTTCAGCAAGATGTATATAGAGTTCACAGCCATATGAGCAGTAACCCTCAGGAGAAGTTACCAGGTCCATTCTCTGAAACCAGCTATGTGGTAACCTTAATTACAGAAGAACAACAGAGCCTCCAGAATGCAGCTTCCCTGAGTTCTTGCCTTTTGAGTGCATCATAGCAAAACATTTACTTAGCTCCAAATGACATCAGTCCTCAACTGCCTTTCCTATTCTCATTTTAGTTATCAGTGGTTCTTCAGGCCTTGGCCTCTAAATCATATAATAAAACTTTCCATTTTAAATTTCAGGTGAAGCTAAAAGGCTGCATCTTACTGGCACTGGAGCACTTAAGACAGAAATGCGTACTACTGAAAGATCCTGCATGCCTGTTTGCTTGCTTTAAAGCAGGTGGGACCCAGAATTAAGCAGCAGGAAAAACTGAATTGTTTCCATAATGATTTCTGACTATTCAGTAAGTGCAGGCACTAGCAGAGATAGACAAATTAAACCCCTTAACAAAGGGCAATGTGCGATCCAAAACACTATAAACTTGACTGTTTTGTTCTGTGTCAAGAAGAATTAGCTATGATCTTAAGTAACCAGATTATAACAAAAATGGAAATGTGAAACTGATAAACATATTGTGAGAGCTGGTTTATAAAACTATCAGCACTGTTAGACATGATTCAGATTCAGAAATGGAAGCATTTAACAGATATGGAACCTCTAATTAAGTAAAATAATCTAACCTCTCAAATCCTGCACCTTTAACAGAGCAGAAGAACAGAAGATAGCTTTTGTGGACAGTAGAAACATGTCATTAAAAATGATAAAGCTTGCTCAGCCAGGAAGCCCACCACATAATAAAGCCATCTTCACTCCTTTTCCATGCTCCATGCCCTTTCTTTCCATACAGCTCCATATCTGCACGTTGGCATATGTCGAATCATTAAAATACGCAGGTGGCCAAAGTTTTCAAATAAACCCAATTAAAAGTGATGGTGCACTGCAAATAGGCTGAAGTATGACAGATCAATCAGCCTCTCTCCATCAATTATATTCTAATAGTAGCTCTTGAAAATATGTGCTTTTAAGGGTTTCTCACTGCATTTGAAATATTTAATGTCAAGTTTATGTACATGTATTCAGTATTTTATCAAGCTACAAGATTGTAAGTGATCAATAACTCCCACTTTATTAAGATTGCTAACTTGATGAAATTTATAAATTGGTTAGCCATCTACTTCTGACAAGTAAAAGAGAAAATAATTTCACTCCGTGGGCATTATATTTTTAGCACATTTTCTTCTACAAGAAATAAAAATTTCACTTTATGGTACAAAATTTTTGTACATATTGGAAAAGACATCATTAATACTTCCATGTCTAAAATAAAAGAATGGTTTGCCTAATTTTCTGATTTGGCAAAGGAACAAGCATTAAGACACAATGATGTCTTTAATTATTTTCTAAAGTTCAATGGAGAATGGTGTGCAATACATATGCTTTAAAGATGTTTTGTCATACGCTTGCTCCAGATAGATCTTTGAGGGGAATAACCTATCACATCAACTACAGAATAAAATTCTAGTTAAAGGATGTCAGTACTTAGAAATATAGATAATTAAAGCTAAGAAGATTTTTAAATATTCAGTGTGAGCAAACAAATTATACTTAAATGTATAAAGAACAACTATATCTTTACAAAACCAGATAATACGATTTTAATACAAAACATTAATTCTTATAATGAATTATTAAGAAAAAAGATGCTAAATAACAAGCTATGCAAAGAACAACTGTCTTGGATACAAAATACTACTGGGGTACACACCAACAGCCAGAGGAAATGGAATTAGATAAAATGAAGGCCTGGCAATCTCTGATCATCTCTTTATTGTTCTAACGAGGAATTCTGCTCTGGGAATATCATCTAAGCTACTTTCACATCTTTTGTCCTACTTAACTTCATCTTCCTTTCAGTTCTTAATTAGGCCTTAAAGAGCTCACACTGCCCTTTCAACTGGCTACTGCTCCCATTTAAACACTGCTTTCAGAGACAGGTGTTGGCACCAGAGTAGAAGACATACAAACATAATTAGTAAATGTGATGCAAAAGGAAGAATATAATAACTTGGTGAAGGCTATTATTGCAGAACCTAATAATAAATTACTTCAAACACCTTAGAAAGCAATCTTGAATATTTTTTAAAAAGTTCAAATGGTTTCATTCAAAAGCATGGCTGAGAGATAGCTTCTTCTTCTCCTAATTTGTATTTTGTATTAAATGAGCACCACCTCATAATCCTACAACTGACATTTAGGATGGCTGGTATTCCAAAAGAAAAACCATCAAGGATTTCTTTTATCACCTTTAAATCCTTTAAATAAAACAATTCACATCTTATTTCTTAAAAGAATTAAACCGATGCCTATACCAGCAATAAATTACAAGATTTGCAGCAGTACATTTGCAAGCACACAGAAACTGTAATTATGGTTACTTTACAGACAATAGCTGTTAAGTTAAATCAATTTTTTTTTTGATGTCGCTTTTTGTCAGAGATTAAGTAACCGCCTGGTAGAATTCAGTTTACTATCTGATCAAAGGCAGCCTTCATATACTCTGACATCTCCCACCAGTCAGTTACATTATAAAAACTTGGGCATTTTGAATAACTTCAAATGTTATTACAAATCATTTACATAAAACAGAAAAAAACAAACAGTATGAAGTCATATTTGCTTGTGAAACTTGGTTTCTATATAAAGACTGAAAACAAACCAAGATTTTATCTGTTCACACAACAAATCCTAGTAAGACCACATTTTCCTTCAAACAAAGACACTGCACAGGAAATCTGTAGATTTTTCAGGTCTTTTCTTAGCACATAATTTATTCTAGGTACTTTTAGAGACAAAAGAGTATTTTGAATAATAACCATTAGTATTTCTATTTTTAGTGTTTTCTGAGAAGGTGTTCATTTATTACTTGTATTACTAATCATACATCAGTTCATTGCTGCCATTTTGATTTGCCATCTAAAGACTGTCCTCAAGTCCCTGACTGCAGTGATAGGAGACTCCTGTTAGGTCAATTAATACATCACTGCCTAATGCAGGGTTCCTCACCCGATTATTACTTTTCTAGAGTCATCTGAAATACCCCAAAGCAACAGTTTTCTTCTTACTTGCTGTCAAAACATCTGATTTCTCCCTTCTCTATATCACCATACCAGAAGTATACTCCATATTGAGTGTAAAATTCTCCTTTACTTCCAAAGTTATATTAAGCCTGTAATTTTCTAATGAAATTTTCTGTGTACGTCAAAAGTAAAACAAGAACAAGACCAAGATTTCCTTTGAAGAAGTTAAGCAAGAATAATAGTTTTTATTGTGCCAGGTACCAATTAGCTGGCATTTACTGATGGCTTTCCATAACTCACCATTGTTTTCCTGAGGTCCTCAATGCCAGAAGGATTCATATTAAAACTGTGGGGAAAAAAACAAAACCCCAAATATTAGCAGTGCATACTTATCTGACCAAAACACCTACTTGAAGGCACTACTGAATTAGGTATATAGTTATAAAATATTTAATGTAATTTTTTTCTTGACTTGTTGAACTTAGAAAAAGTAGGAAAATTTTCAAAGTTAATGGAAATTTGAATATATTCTTTCTTCACTATTTTTTTTGTATTTTTCATATTATTTTTGTATAACATTTGAATAAGCAGTTAAGAAATGCAAGAAAGGATATTCCGGATGGGGCTTCCCTAGTTCTCTTCTCTAGACTTACCTTGAACTTCTAAACAAAGAGAGATACTTCAAAAGAAATATTCTGAAAACAGATCCCTGGGATGAGACTCTTAAAAAACAAAACCCAGCAGACTAACGTGTATTCCCAGCTTTTATGGCACTGCTAGAGGAGAAAGGTCTTCTAGAAATCCCATCAAGATGATCAGCTTAAGTCAGAGCTGAAAAACCATCTTCTGTCAGCAACATTTGCTTCATACTTAAAATCGAGTAAATAACCTATTATTTTACAAACTTAGTGATTATCCCATGGATTCGAAAGGCAAAGCTATTTCATGATGTTGCTGTGCTGAGATTTTTTTCTTCCTCAATTGCAAAAATGAAGCTGATATTGATAAAAGTAACCATTGTGTCAGGCCTGTGCCACACCTAGAGAAACACCCCACTGACCTCTCATGTTGATGTCATTATTAGCAAGTATCACCAAAAATCAGTGCTGCTATGTTCTCAAGTACTTGCTACAGCAAGTAGGGAAACAAAACTAACTCTCTGAAACTGTGTTCAGAATTTGGGTATGGCTCACAAATACTGTTTACTTGGTAGCACCGCAGCAGATCCCTCTTCCACATCACAGAATCTACTGCTTCTTAGCCTACATGCACTGGCTGTCAAGGGCAACGTCTTCTGACTGACAATAATGCAAAAAGTCACAAAACTATGTCTACTTTTCTTTTCCTAAGGTTAGCTTAAAGTAAGAAGCACGTATTTTGTGACTTCATCACCGCTATCTGAATTTATAAGCCATAAATTTCACGGTGTAAAAGTGGAAGCGACATAATTTACAAAAGTAAATACATTAAATATAAACCTTGTTTTTTTAATGTTAATATTTTTGTTGTTTGCATTATAACTCCTTTTTTTTTTTTCCTCACACTAAATTTTCTTTATTTGGTATATTATTTTTCATTTCCAAAGTCAGCAGTCTTTTGCTCACACAGAATCCCCATGAACCATCTGCTGGACTGAGGTTATTAGATAAAGATTGGATTACACGACCAGTCACAACGAGAACTCAGGAGGTGTCTGACAAACCAAGTTCTGGCTAATTCCCATTATACCTGTCTGTAACAGTGATCCGCAGCAGTCTGCCCAGCTTGCTGGAGACCAGTTCTGAATGAGGGCCCTCTTTCATCGCTATTGTCTGAAAAGCTAAAGGCAGGAACCCTCCCTCCCAGCCCGCCTTTTAGTTTCACACTGATGTGTCAAACACATGATGAACTTGCTTCATTCATGGCTGCCTTTTGTGATCTGAGTGCAAAAAAAATGAGTTAACTGAACTGGATCGAATTAGCTTGGTGAAAACCAAGAATGTCTCTATTTAACGAAGTGTGGCGTTAATTTGGGATATCTTTCTTTTGGGACTGTTTCCTCATGTTAGACAAGATATAGAATAATGTGGCCTGACTGCTCAACTGAGTGACTTTCTGAAAGGTTAAAAAAGCAAGATCTTTCACTGCCTTGAATGACTTTATAGTTTCTGTGAAATAAGTTCTAGGGTTCTTTTTCATAGCAGCAGTTTAAAAGAAAAGCAGGAGTTCTGACTATGAGCAGTTACATTAGAAAATTAGAAATATAAATCACTGGCATTTCAGACTAATTTTTTTTTTTTCTTTAGCTACAAAACCTGACATCATTCCCATAACACTGTGGACACAGTAACTGCAACTAGAAAAGAGAACATCTGCGTATTTTACATGAAGCAATTTGAATACACTTGCAAAAAAATGTAAAACTATTAAATAAAATATTCCCCAATAAAACCCCAAACCTCATGAATACTTGTTCTCATATTTTAAAGAGATATGTGGAAAATATACTGCTGCTCAAGAAAGAAACAGGTGCTGAGGTTGCATAGAACATTTTTTGTCTCCTGAGTAAGGTGGGAGCTCCGTGGCCTCGCTGAGCCCCGCAGGGTTTCCTGCCAGCGCCTCCAGCCCGAGGTGAGCGTGAGCAGACACAGGCTCTCACTGCTGAGCCCATAATTCACTGTCCGAGCACTGTGCAACGACCCAAAAGAAAATACTGCAAAAATTATGGGGGAGTCACACATTTGGTGTATTGAAATTCATGAGCGTGTTTATTTTTTGACTTAAATTACATCACAATAGTACACTCCTGAAGTTACCATCTCACTCGATTACTAGTAATAGTTTACAGAAAATATACCTCTAGGACTACAGCCCAAATGCTGTACAACCATCATAATCCCTTCTTTGAGCAGCCATTTTCTTGACTTCCTAAGAGCATTTTGAAATCACTGATCTAAGCAATCATAAAAAATAATGGTTTTTTACTGTGTTACAATCACAGTTCATAGTGATAGTGCTATTCATAGTCCCATCTCTGCTCTTTCCCCAGGGTTTGATAAATTGCCAGGGATCTTTTGCTATGGAAGCACAAAAAAACTACCCTTACATCTTGGGGAAAAAGTTTCTTTTTGGTTTTGGGGTTCAAAAGTAGCTTACTATGAACAGTGACTGTAAAAAAACTGACATTGTGGGATTCTGTAATTATTGTTCCTCAATTATGCCCAAACTAAATCTGTTCCGTTTACAAGTAAAAAGATATTTCTTCTCTAACAAATGGACTTTCTGCCAACCCACGCTGAGAGCTACACACTGGGTTTCTCTGGCTCATCGTCATTAACGTTGTGTGTGACTCCCAGGTGATGTTTCACATGAGTCTAACCCCTCCTCATGGGACAACCCACAAAGACTGGCCTGGCTGCTCCTCTTTCCACTCACTGGAAAGACCTCAGCTACCTTCTTGCTCCTGTGCCCTTTATCATCTCAAAGAATCAAGTCATTTTCTATCTCTTCCACTTATCCAGACAGGGCAAGAAACTCCACTCCCCACCACTGTGGAGCCTCAATGTGCCTCAAGGTCATGTCTGAGGTCCCACAATGATTTTTAATAGTTGTCTCTTAGAATTAACAAACTTTCATTCACTCCAATCACCTTCAAGAAAGTTAGGAACCAGTGAAAGTGAGGTGAAACACTCAAGCAGAGACTCAAAATCAGCTGCACGAGGATCATGCAGGTGACACTGACCAAGCAAGCCACTCAACCTCTACATTGGCCCAACCTCACTACAGGTAGAAGAGACTTCAATCTAGCACAGCAATTAGTCGTGTCCCTCATTTCACTCATCTGGAAATTCAACTGCTTTCCTTAGCAGTTAACTCTATATCAGATATTTTTACGAGATTAAATCATTATTTTACTGCTTGGGATATCACTTTTTCTTTACATGTACACTTTTACAGAATAGTAAAGTTTGTTTGAATTTTAGAGGTTTTACTCGTTTGGATTTTGATTTTAGCTCATCTAAGATGAGAACTCTTTCCTATCACTGGTGGGAGAAAAGTGATGAGAAATAAAAAGACTATAACCTAATAATGGAGACAGACAGACTGTAATGCTGATATCTGTTTTCAATAACTATTTCATAATCATAGCAAGCATACTATTTTATATTTTCTTGTTATTTTCCCTATTTAAATACATTTCACTAGACCTACATGAAATTAACTTTTTTTTTTTTCTAACACCTCTCTTTTATGAGGTAGTTCAATACTTAAACTGTGTGCTGATTATTCGTGGTTTGTATAGAAATTTCATCACAGTGGAGCTGAGTTTAGGATGTATCACAAGCTCAAGTTTATGACTGGAGCTTGTAATGTTGTCTTTTAAATGTAATGGTAGTTAAAAATTCAAACGCTAGTTCTAGTGGCTGCTTAAATATTTAGCTTCTAAATGCCTGGAGATTAAAACAGTGTTTAAAAAATCTTTCTTGTAACTGATTTAAACATTTTAGTGCCTGAACCATTTACTCTGACAACATAATGAATGAGAACCACACTCCTAAATTATGCTGTATGGAAAGCATATTTTCTTAAGAAGTCAAATTTTTTACTCATCTTTCATTATTCATATTACTTATATGATTGTTGTACTATATACTATTAGAAATTAAAACTAGGATATTTACATGAATCATTACTACTCAAAATATTGCAGTCTTCTATGTTAACTTGACATTCTGTAAAATATCCATTATACCAATAAGCTCAGTGTGAGCTTCCAGGTTTTCTCTTTTAATATGGCACATCTGGGTCCTGATAATTAGCAAAGCTCTACTATGTTAATTTTCCAGTAGAGTTGAAATATTATCCCTATTCCTACTTCTCAGTCTTTGGACTGACTCTTATTACAGTGCTTACGCATTTTTCTTTGGATTCTCACATGTACCAAACCCCTATGATATTAGGATGCAATTTAAGTTATTACCAATGTACTCAAAAAACAAAAGAAACTCATACAATCAGATCCAGTTAATGAAACTCAGAAACTCAGCTTTCCACAGAATATTATTAGCCTGCTGTGCCTGGCAATGCAGACATCCCTTTATATGCTGAGAAGGAATGACTGTCATGTCTGGCAGCTAAGCAAGCATGGAGTAAGCATATTACCATTTATTTCCCAATCACATTCTGGGGAACATCACTTAAGACACTTCACTATATAAATTGTCCTGCCGTCAAAGCCATGCTCCAAGGTCTTCTGGAATTTGTGTAACCCCACGAGGACACAAAGAGTATCAGGTTTTGTTGCCATCAGTCCATTTTCTTAACATTACTATAAAGTCTCACGCCAAGAGTTAAGAAACTGGACCA